CTAGGGTTGGGATAGTAGCTCAGTTGGTAGAGTTTTGCCTGGCATGCACAGGGCCCTGGGTTCAACCCCCAGTATGGAAAAGAAAAAAAAAAGAAATACAACTGCATTTTGGTATATATGGTAAACTGAGTAATGATACCCCAAGATTTTCCATGTCCCAATCCCTAAAACCTGTGAATATGTTACCTTACATACTAAAAGATGGCTTGCATATTTAATTAAGGATATTAAGATGGGAGGATTCTTCTAGATAGTTCCAATGGAACAACAACAACAACAAAAAAGAGAATAAGATGCCCAGAGGGAAAGGTGTCATGATAGGACTCAATTTGATATTGCTGACTTAGAATGAAGAGGGGTGCATACCAAGGAATATAGGCAGCTTCTAGAAGCTGGAAAAAGCAAGTAAAAGGATTTTCCCTAAAGCCTACAGAAGGAACAAAGCCTAAGGACACCTTAATTTTAGCCCAGTGAAGCTGATCTTGGATTTGTGACTTATGGAACTGTAAGATCATAAATTGCAATTGTCTAAAGCTATTAGGTTTGTGGTATTTTGTTATAGCAGCATAGAAAACTAATACCATGCATTTCAGTACTATGCAGAATCCACAGTAGTCTCATGAATTTTGGCGTTWATCAAAATTAGGAAATATAAAATAATTCCATCTTGTTACCACAAATAATATTCTTAATACCCAAACTAAAATACAGGAAATGACATCTGAGAGAAACAATTACAGAATCTGTGAATTGCAGTTCTACACCCCAATCATTTTCTACCCTAATTAAACTAGTTTTYATCCCCACTTGTACTGTGACCAATTACTAGTCTTTGTAGGTAAATGACCATAAATCATTAATTAATCATTAACCATTAATTTTTGCAGGGCACAGTGATGAATGCCTGTAATTCCAAAGACTGGGAAGGCTCACAAGTTCAAGGTCAGCCTCAGCAACTTAGCAAGACTTTGCCTCAAAATTGAAAATACTACTACTAMTAATAATAATGGGGTGTATCTCAGTGGTAAAAGTGCCCCTGGGGTGCAATATCCAGTGTAAAAAATATCATTAATTTTWATTAAGTTGCTTGAATTTTTAAGTCTTGGAGAGATCGAGATTCAGTCAAGAATTTATGCATCTTCACTCATCAAACTCCAAGAGTTATGTTAACAAATAGAATCTTGACTTCTTTTTGGTTCTCCTGGGTCACAACTAGCTCCACCTYATCACTTTCTATGGCATGAAACAGAAATTTTACCCAGGAACAAAGTAGAAACTTAACACTCCATGGCTTCTTTCAACCCAGTGAATGTAAGTGGTGCAGACCAGCTAGAACAAAGAAAAGAGAATCCCACAAAAGCACAAAGCTGACAAGGCCTACAGAGTATGGGTTTTTCAAAGGAAAGGAAAAAAAAAGATTAAAAAAATTAAATACAATGAGAAGCTCAGTAAGATTTTACAGTAAATTCCAATGCACCCAGAATAATAGAAAACAGGAGATTAGCATAAGAATGTGACAGAATACATGAATTGTCAGTTTGCAAARTAGCAGAACAAAATAACATAGCTCTTAATATGAAAATAGCTCAAAATTTAATTTAATCTCTTTGATGATGTGGAAGTTGCTTCAGGGTGCTGCAATATTTCCTGCAGTCATGAATATTAATCACCAGGGTGTGGTGCTGGGAGACAGGGCATTTGAGCCTTCCATGGACAGGCGCATTGAGAACCGCAGATACATAGATATTTTTTTTGAGGAATGTGTGCCTTACCATTAAGACCTGGAAACCTGCTGTGGGCCTGTGAGTGTGTGTTGGAACCCTATAGCAACTAGCGTGGCAGGCTAGGTGCACCCTCATTTTCATGATCACTTTTGACRTTTGCCAGGGGCTTGTTTAGTGCCTGCTAGCTCCTTCTGAATGTTCACTGTAATTTTTCCGTTCTGTTTTGCAACCTGGATTTCACAGCATAGGGATGGTGTCTATTTTCCTCTATACTATTTATTCCCAATGCCAGGCACTCTGTAGGTGCAAAATGAACGATTAGACATAAAAATGAATGCATGAATAATTGCTGATCTCCATCAGCCCACATGGTCTGAAGGCTCCTCACTGCTTTGGTGTCCACATCAACCAGGACAGGTGGGTGAAAATGTTAACCAGGAGATTACACAGTGGCTGATGGGAATTTCTTTTTCAGATTCTAATCAAGAAACAATTCTCTCCTAAAGAAGAATATATCTATCTTTTTTCTCTATAGAGGAGCAGAGGCCAGCACTCTGTGAGAGAGAGAGAGAGAGAGAGAGAGAGAGAGAGAGAGAGAGAGAGAGAAAGAGAACAAGCCTTGGCCAGTAAGGCCAACTGTAATTAGAATAAATGTTATAGTTTGTATCTAAAGTGGGGCCATGTGTTAAAGACTTGATGCCTAGCCTGCAGCACTTCTGGAAGGTGGTGGAAACTTCAAGAGGTGAGGTCTAGTCGGAGGTCTTCTGGTCACTGGAGACATGTCCTTTAAGTATTTTGGGACCCCAGTCTCTTCCTCAGTCTGTCTCTTGCTTCCCAGACACGAGGTGTGCAGTTTTGCTTTGCCACATACTCCCTCCTTGATGTGCTACCTCACCAAGGCCCCAAAGCAATGGAGCCAACCCATCATGGATTGAAATCTCCAACTAGGAGCCTTTTCTCTTTATAAGTTGATTTTCTCAGGTATTTGTTATAGTGATGGGAAACTAAATAATATAATGAATCATCTTTAAAATCTCAATTTTGCTTAATTAGCAAAGATTAAGAAAAATCAGAACAGTAAAATGATTACGGAAACACCCTTTACACATTTGGAAAGCAATTTGGCAGAATATATCAAGAACTTTAGAAATGATCATGCCCTTTGACCTAGTAATTTTCCTTCTGGGAATCCATTCTTAGGGAATAAACTTAAAAATAGAAAAAAAATCTTTAAACAGAAGAATTATGCACATGTTATTTTATTTTTTTAAAAGTTATAATATATTTAACAATGAAAGTTGGAAATAACCTAAATATCCCACAACAGGGTAAAATGTAGTAAATTATAATATATGATAGGACTGTTATTATACAGCCATGKAATTGTCTTTATTAAATTTTTTATGTATGGAAATACTTGTGTTAYTATGTTAGTAAAAATGGCAAGATAGGAAACTTCTATAAATTATTAAATCAGTTGGATATTTTTAAATGCATGGAAATAGGACAAGGAAAGATGTATTTAAATAATCATCAGCAGTGATTCTCTTTGTTGGTAAGGTGGAATTATGAGTAATTTTCCTCTATCTTTTATAGTTTTCTATACTGCCTGTATTTTTATAGATGTTATACTTTTTGCACACTTATCCTAAGGGAGGGGAGAGAAGATTTATTTCTGCTTCAGACTCATATCTCTGAGGGATTCATTTAACCCAATTTTTTCAGATGCTCTGGATGTGAGAAAAGCTACCTGTGGCCCAACTGGATAGGTAGTTGTCAGATCTTGGAGAGTTCCTGAATGAGTGCACCTRGGAGTGGGAGTCTTTTGGGATCCYTGCTCCTGCATCCCCCCAACAGGTTCTTTAAAAGCCATGTGGGTTCAGTCCCATTGGCCTGAGAGGAAGCCTCAGGCCTAGTGTCAAGGGTCCATCCTGGGTCATTGTTATAGGTCTCTCTTGGGCTCTGTCCCCAATTTCCATAATCAGGTTCCTGGAGGTTCTTTGTAGGCAAGACCCCACCTCCACCCTCATCCTCTCCAGCAATAGCTCAGTTCCTACGTCTCTTTGTGGTACATCCCCCCTGCCCACCTAGCACTCCACTATTCTCCCAGGGGCTCCAGCTCTACCTCAGCAGGACATGTACTCCGATGCCCTGGGATGAGTGTGGCGTCTGTATTGGCCCCCCCCCCCCCCGGGTACAAAAGGGTAGACACTTGGCTTTCACTTGCTTCCCATCACTTCCCATTCACTTGCCATCACTTGCTTCCCTGTGTGCCCCATTCATTGCCAAGATCCAGAGCGACCCCAGCACTCATTGGGGTGCCCGCCCACCTAGTCCTTCTTATCATCTGCTGCTGAGGCCCTTCTAACCCTTTCCTGAGTCCTGTGTCTGTCTCCTTAAATTTGTCTCTGGGTCCCACTGCTGGGCAAGCTGTCCTTGCCATGACCATACCTCCTTACCCTGCTTCCCCACTCCCCAAAGTGTGCTTGGGTCCCCTAAGGAAAACGTAGCCAACACTGAGACCCCTTCTCCTATTTGGAGCTATCTCTGGGTAAGTAACTTGGGGAAAGCAAATGGAGTATATCTTATTGAAATGACAAAGACCTCGATACTGCAGTGTTTATCTTTGATGGAATGAATCTGAAGTCTAGAGTTTGCTTTTCTTTGAGAGTCTAATAAATTTGTAAGTTAATGATAATGATAATGAGCTTATCGATGTGGCTGGCACTGTGCTAAGCATTTAACATGGAGTCATGTCTGATCTTAAAATAACCTCACATCATGGGTAGGTACCACTGGTAGATCTATTTCACAGATGAGGACACCTGTGAACTAACTTGGTCAAAGTCACAGAGGTAGTGACATAAGATGCAGGACATGAGCCCAGTTCAAAGTTTAATCATTAACACCACTCCCGAGGATGTGAACCCCAATCCCAGGGCTCCACATCCAGGCAAGCCACTGCAATGGGTATATACAACCAACTGAAGAGCACATGTCCATCTTCAGTGTAGGGATTACCCTAAAGCAACAGTAACATGAAAGGCAGGAATATGAGCCCAGTGTTGCCAGAGCTCCTAAGTTTTCAAGACATGTTACCCATGTGAAGTTTTATGTGCAATCTCCTTGCCCTGTAATGCAGCTTCAAACATTTTATGARCATTGAATGAACTAAATAAAATGCACTGATGATCTACCAGCTTGCAATTTCTGCTCTGTACACTTTCCAATTTTTACTTATGACACACACTCTTCTCCTTTGAAAGGGTTACATACCTGCACAATCTCCAGCATCTCTGCCTTGCTGATGTAGCCATTTCCATCCAGGTCATACATGCTGAAGGCCCATTTCAGCTTCTGCTCCAGCTTCCCCCTCGACGTTACACTCAGAGCAATGATGAATTCTCTAAAGTCTATTGTCCCATCTCCATTTGCATCAAAGGTACGGAAGACATGCTCTGCAAATTTGGAAGCATCCCCGTAAGGGAAAAAGTTCCCGTATATTTTCTTAAATTCTTCCATTGACAAATGTCCGCTGGGGCAGTCTCTCAAGAAGCCTTTGTACCATTCCTGGATCTCATGTTCTGTAAAGTCTGTGCTCTCCAGCAAGTCCTGCATGACCTCGGGGCGCAGCTTGCTGTTCTGTTTCCCCATGCTGGCCGCAAGAATTCAAGCTGCAGAGAGAAAAGAAAACACACTTAATTTTCAGAGCTGTTCTTAAGGGGCAGATTAGATCATTTGTGATTGTTCCTTGGAAAAGAGAAATAAACTCTACACAAGTCCAATAACATTGTCTAGGTTTTGCAGTCAGCCACACAGGATAATGGAAAGACAGTCTAGGTGAAGATGCAGGGGAAAACTATCACTGACAGGAAAATTGATATTTATTTTATACAAAGCTAACCTAAGAGCCGAAGATGACAGATGATGATGATGGTGATGATGATGATGATAGATAGATGATAGATAGATAGATAGGATAAGAAAGACACAGAGAATTAATTGGTTACTTAGTTMCATCTTATCAATTTCAAGAGGTTGAGCCTGGCTTTATGAAAACTGATTCTAAACCAAATCCAAGTACTAGCAGGGAGAAATCAAAGAGAGGAAGAGGAAAAAAAGAGGATAAAAGAGAATTTAATACTTTTTTAATTGCTAGAGTATTTCCAAAGAAAGTGTGGCTTGGGTACTTCCAGCACAATATCAACACAGACACAAAGGAAATGGAAGCACTCCCAATACAAGGAAAGGCTGCCAAATAAATCACTAACCAAGTTGAGCTTAGATGGTCAAGATAATGCTTCATAATGTTGTCTATGTCCTATGACTGTGGTTTATGAAATAAGTTCCAAGTTCCTTTTTAAAATACAATTAACTTTGTATTTTCTTATCATTAGCACATATCCATAGTAAAATAGTAAGTAAGACACCGTACTGTATAAAGAAAAAAATCCACATCATTGGAAGCCCTAACCCTTAAAGAGAGAACTCTGCTAGAATATTGATGTGTGGTCTTAGGATTGATGTGGAGTCTTAGGACTGAGGCATGTTCAAGACACAAACCTTCTCACAAAAGGGCTCGGCACTTGTACTTGGCACTTTTCTTCTATTAAAAAATTCTGAAAGTAGGCTTGGACAATTACAGAATATAAGAGAGCATAGCCCCATTTCCATCCAGACAGCCGATTTTCCACACCATGGTATTTATTCCTTTTTATCTGCTCTTTCCTGCTACATATTCGGCCCTGAGGGCAGAGTCTTCTTGGGGGTTGCTTTATTTCTGCAGCGCCCATGACATAGGGCATCTGGCAAACTAATGAACGGAAGCAATGACTGAAAAACGTGGCTGGAAGGCAGAAGAATAATTACAATGTGGAAATATGGAATAGTCTTCCTGGAAGAGAAAGACTTCATTTTTGCCASAAAGCAGGGGGTGGGGAGGGGTCTGGCTTTCAGGATGCTATTTGCCAACTAAAAGCTATCTATAGTCAAGACTTGATCTTGAGATCTCTGATATTGAGCTGTCTGTCTGGGACCTTCACTATCAGGAAATCGCTATAGGACAGTGTGTGCACCTCTCACACCTCAGGCTTCTTTCATAATATCTACAGACCAGGAAACAAGGAGGGACCCTTATGAACTGCCAAGTTCATTGATTGGAGTTTTTCTAAGTTTTATTTTATTTATAACTGACACATAGTAGTTGGTCATCTTCATGGGATACAGTGTGGTATTTCGATACATGTATACATTATATGATGATCAAATCAGGGTAATCAGCCAATGCATCACTTCAAACATTTATCTTTTTTCTTTGTGGTGAGATCATTCAAATTCCTCTTTTTCCAACTCTTTTAAAATATACCGTGCATCTTACTATTTATAGTCACCTTCCTGTGCAATAGAACATTAGACCTTCCTGCTAACTGGAACTTTCATGGTCTCACTCATACATAGAATCTAAAAAAAAGATGATTTTGTTTTCTAAGTTCTGAACTCAAGGTGAAACTTGGTAAGGGTTTTGCTCATAGGCAGGCATCCTCCCAAGGGTAGGGAGAATGGACAACCCTTCATAGTAGCATGATCCACAACTACAGGAAGGTATTTGTTTTGGAGGTCCGTCTCTATGTGGAATCAAGCAAACCCTACTTTACCCAAGAGCAACATAAACTACAACTCCAAAATGAGCACAAGTAGAATTTATTAATTGAGCATTCCAATAACTTTCACTTCCCTCTTGTGTCCTTTTCTTTCTAGAAGGTTAAAAAAAAAACAAATTTAGGCTGGTTTGTAGTAAAAATTTAAAACTGCCATTTATTTGCTAAGTTGGCAATTTGCCTGAGGTCAGAATTCAGAAACATGAGGTAATACATAATATATGGGTTTACAGAGCTCCAAAATATTTAATGCAATTTACAAGTCATTTCAGGTTTTCCTTTTGGGGAGATCTTGAGAATATAGCTCTTTGGTGCAATGCTCAATCAAATCACCATTATTATATGTGCAAATCACTGTAGGCCTGGCTTTGGAGGGGGAAATTGCCATGTTGATATTTAAATCTATTCCTTTAAAGAATAATTTCTTTCCCTGAATATACAAAACACTATTTCTTCAAAACTGAACTTAACTTCCTTTCCAAACATTCAAAAAGTGCTTCTCATTTATTAGCTGTTTTGCACTAGAAGCAAATTGCCTCAGCATTTTGGCTAAGTCTCCCACCGAGAATGATCTGTGTGCAGCTATTTTTCAGTAAACAGTAATTAAACCACATTTACAAAATCATTAGCACAGAAAGGCCATAACACAAACAAGGCAGAAGAGCACAGAATAAGTTATTTGGGAAGCGGGTGTTTGCAATTTAGTCCAGAATTTGTTTCACTAGATGACTACGGATACTTTACTGAGTCTGGGGACTGACTTGAGAGACATCTGGACTTGGTTAGACCGCACAACAAAAATCTCCAGGGATGTATGGTAGAGTTTCATTTCTTGGGTGGGGAGGAAGAAGACAGGAGTGCCTATAATACCTTCTTCCTTTGGAAGACAGGAATTTCTGCCTTGTGAGTTGAAGCTGGTCAGGGGTGGCACAGACAACAAATACCATGGGGAAAATACAACATTAATTAGCAGTCAAGAAAAAAATAGTATGGAGACAAAGTTGCACCTCAGGTCAAATCCTTTTACTCATTAAAATACGTATTTTGTGCCAGAAGAACATAATGAAGAAAAGGTCAGGACAAGGAATCAAAAGCTTTAGTTCAAAGCCTGCTCTGTTGCTTATTAGCTCTTGGGTAAGTCAATTTTTTATATACGTCGGTTTTTTCACCTGTAAAATGAACTCCACACTATGAGCTCATACTTTATTGATTTAATGTAACCATATATGTAAAGTATTCAGTTAGGACCAGACTCTGTGGTAAATGAAAATAAAATCTTATCCCTGATGATTGCTATGTTGGATACAATTTGTTCCCCAAAGAATCATGGGCTAGAAGCTTGGTCTCCAGTGTGGCAGTATTGAGGTGGTGATGTGAAGAGGCGAGGCCTATTTCAAACCCATTCACTGCTCACCATCTCTTTGGCCTCCACCTCAGGCCAAAGCACCATCAGCTTCTTTCTGGTTTTCTACAACACTAGAATCTCACTTCTTACTCTTGTCCTCCCTCTCCCCATCCCTGACTCCAATCTACTTTCCATTCAGTTCTCCAGAGTGACCTTTTAAAACACAAGTCAGACTATGTCACTCCCTTGCTTAAAGTTCTGCAGGGGCAACCCAGCACACTTAGAATAAAATTCGGACTCCTGTTTACCCACAAGGCTGTGTGTGAGCCCTGGATCTTGTGACATCCCCTTCTGAACCCTCAGTTCCAGTTGCCCTGGCCCTGGATGCTCTATCCTTTACCTCTCAAGGGATTTTGCTTCAGTCCTGCATTTTCTGGAGTGAAGGCACACCTGTTCCATTAAACAACCTGTTTTTCAGTAATTTACTCTAAGAAGGACAATGTGGAACTTCCCAACTTATTCTGGGCCACATCCAGTCTCTCGGGGTTCAAAAAATAAATCTGTGGTAAATATTGACCAGAGATGAAAAAGGAAAAATATAGGAGAAAAGAAGATACCAAATCACCACCAAAGAACCAAAACACAGAATCCATTTTTAAAAAAGGATAGAGCGATAGCAAATAAAAATGGTGCCGCCAGGAAAGAAAATGGCAGACGGAGGGCAATCTTTGGGAATGAGTACACTCCCTTCTTTATTTTTGTATCTGCAGAGGGAAAGATCTGCAGCACCGTATTTCTGCAATTCCCCATAAGGTTCTAAAACTCTGTGCTTTAATTCCTCAGAGCCCAGAATTAGATTTTTCCAGGGAAAAGTCCATAACTTACCCTGGACAGGCTGGTTAACTTCAGAGAAAAAGTCCCCATGCAGGCTACGTGTGGTCTCTTAAAATGGGATTTACAAGGTGCTGGCAGCTAAAAGTCAAGTTTGTCTGCAACCAGGAGCACAGAACCCACTATAGTCCCATCCACAGACCAGGGTAATTAAAACGTTTGCCTCATTTGGAGTGATGCAAACGTGTACCCTAAAAGCTGCTTTCACTTTTAGACATCCAATGTCTAAAATGGATCCAATGGGATGTCTAAATTATGAAAACATAGCTAGAAAAAGGTTCCTCAAATGTAAGGAAGGAAAATATAAAAGTTATAGATAAAGGGAGATAAGCATTCATGCACCACGACTCAGGCATCAGGTGAATTTTACTTGTGGCTAAAAGCCACAGACTCATTTTTAGGTCAGTTGTCTTTGATTCTCACTAAGGGGGGTGGGTGGGGAAGCATGACTAAATAAAAACCCAGGGAGCTCATGGCTTCTCCTCCAATGAAACTAGTGGGAATGTGAAAGGAGAGCATATATACAAACTCACATGTTTACATATAACCAGCAAATTAGGAAAATGCAGCGGTAGATCAAGGGAAAGAAACTTTATATATTAGAGTGAGAACCAGAGTCATATAAAGATCCCACTAACTGTCTTTATCCTAACCTAAGAATATTCTTTTCTCTGGCCTCTGGTGGGATGAGCTAGGAAATGAGACCCTCTGCCCCATCTGGATCACAAAATGACCTTGCTGAAATCCCATGAAATGCAGTTCAAAGCTGCTGCTGGCCGGG